TTAACTAAATAACCATTTTCAAGACAGATAAATGGGTCGCAGCCCGAGACGTGGATAAACATATGTGTAGTAATCTTCTATTTAAAGTAGAACGAGATTTTCAAAAGTCCAGACTGGGACACACCAGGGCTGGGACGGTCGTTTGGTATAAATAAAATTGTGAAAAACAGTGTTACATTGTCCAGTCTTGACTCACTTTGCTTTAGTATAATCTGAGGGATTTCTGTCGATGTATTTTTTTGCCTTATGGTCAAACATGGATTTCCTGTATTTTAGTTAAACAAACACAAAATATATAAATATAAAATTCTGGGATCAAATTGGTCAAAAATAGGGACACCTGGGACATTTCTTGGATAAAACTGGGACAAATCACTAGTTTTGGATAAAAGTGCTGGGTAAAGTCTGGTCACTCTCATTTAAAGGTTCACTACGTAACTTTTCAGGAGAGGGTCCACCACCAACAGATGCTATTGCTTTGCCTTGAACGTTGCACAATAGGATATGTAATCAAACTTATCTATCTTGTATTTATTCTTTTTAATTTTATGACTAGTTTTTATTGCTTATTCAAATATCTATACACATGGTAATGCTGGTGTTGCCCAAATAGGCCAGATAAGATGAACACCCAGAGCAGACATGTCCAAACTATGGCCTGTGGGCCAAATGCGACCCTCAGACAAATTTTTCTTGGCCCTCAGGCTTCCAGGTGAATTGGCCCAAATAACTCTTAAAAGTTTAAGAGTTAAAAGTTTAATTCTTAAACTTTTAACTTTTAACTTCAAATGAACAGTTTGAAACTACTTGTATGTATAGTGAGTGTGCTGTGTGTATAGTGAGTGTGCTGTGTGTATAGTGAGTGTGCTGTGTGTATAGTGAGTGTGCTGTGTGTATAGTGAGTGTGTTGTGTGTATAGTGAGTGTGCTGTGTGTATAGTGAGTGTGCTGTGTGTATAGTGAGTGTGCTGGTGTTGTGTACTTTTGTGTGATTGTTGCTGTACTTTCCTTTGTCCTGTAGATAATTTTACATCAACCTGCCGAGGGACTGAAGGTGGAAATTAGCCACGTTAGCTATAATCTTTACATATTTACATTTTTAATGTTCATTAATATGTGCTGTCCCTTTACAAATAAATAAAATAAGAAATAAGAAAATAAGAATAAAAGGTCATTCTAACATGCACATATTTCAATTATTCACTGTATTGAGCTGTCTATGCGGCCCTTGATTGGCCCTCTGCTTCATCTGTGTTTAGATTTGTGGCCCTTTGTGAAAAAAGTTTGGACACCCCTGGCCTAGAGTGACCAGATGTCCATATTTACCCAGGACAGTCCCAGTTTTGAGCCCTGTGTCCCCTGTTCCAGCAGATTCATACAAATCCAGTGATTTGTCCCGGTTTTATACTAGAAATGTCCCAGGTGTCTGTATTTTTGACCAATCTGATCCTGCCAACAGTAAAGAGAAACATTCATTGACACTTGTTCAGGTAAAACACAGAAAAGCTGCTTAAAAACACAAAGAAAAAGTGACTATACTGACTCACATTAGTGTTGGGTGCAGAACAATTTTCCTTAATTACGCACTCGTCGTTTCACAATTTTATGATTACCAGCCACCACAAACCAGGGATGTCCTAGTGTTTTATTTTGAAAATGTGGTCACCCTATGAATGCCGTACTGTGGAATATTCCTGGCAAACAGCCATCCTTTATTCTTTATGAAGACTACTAGAAAAAATTCACACAGTGGATCTTTATGCTTTACCAATTGTTTTTGTCTTCATAACTTTACCTGAATGAATGGAAAGGATTTCAAAAATGTACACAACTTTTGAAATGACTTAAGCTTTAAAGTTTCAGTGAGATATTTCTGCCTGTTGACAAAACTATGAAAACTCTGGTCAACTTGTGATCAGCAACTTAAATGTGCACTGTGTAACTTTTCTGGTAGAAGGTCCGCCACCTCCTTGTTTCCATGGAGATGTTACTGTTTTACCTTGATTTTTTCACATTATGTAAATCAGGGTGCTCACACTTTTTCAGCATGTGAGCTACTTACAAAATGACCAAGTCATAAAGATCTACCTAATACAAAGCCAAGCAAACTGCACTGAAACACTCTGTGCCCCTTTTTTGGACCCTCACCCACAGTTTGAGAACCTCTTCTTTAAGAGAACTTCCTCTGGCACTTTACACAAAACTGTGAAAAAAGTGAAGGAAGATTTTTAAACCTGTTTTTTAAAGTTCCAAACTGGAGTTACATTCTTTTCTGGTTTTGCAGTGATATTTACCAGCCTCTGCACGTTTACCAAACCAAACGCACATCGTGACAAACACAGATGCATTTGTGCACTTTTGTTAGACAAACTTCAGCCAAATGTGGCAGTAGGTCTGTTCTGTAGATCCGCTCTATGCTGTAGACCTGCTTTGTGCCAACACTGGAACACAAATTTAGACTGGTTTTTGCTTCACGTTTGGTCTTGTTCTTCTAATCAGCCGCACTGTGGGAGGGGCTTGTGTTGGCTGTACGCAGGAAGGAGCGAGAGCGTGAAAAGGCGAGGGGCGGCGTGCTGACGTGAGGCAGATGGACAGGTAGGATGTTTAGGAAGTTGAACCTGCCCTGTGATGCACGCTGGTACACGAGGGCACACGCTGTCGCAGACGAGCCGTGCATAGGGAGCGTGTGTGTTTGTGATGTGCCGTAGAGTCTCCGCGGGTTTCAAATGAGCGCACAGGCTGCACTGAGACGCCCCACACGCTCCTGCACCCGCTACAAGTTTATTACCAACAGCAGCGGCCGGAATGAAATATGATCACACTTGTTGAGTGTCAGACCTCGAGTGAGAGACAAGACCGAGTCCAAACTGAGTCCGAGACGAGACACGGCGATCTACCCACACAACCTTGGCGATCGACTGGTAGATCGCAATCGACATATTGAGCACCCCTGATGTAAATGAACTTGGTAATCATAATGGAGACAGGTTAATGTTCAGATCTATGGAGAAGCAAGCCTGTGCATGGTATGGATTCACATTTCTTAAGGTATTTTTGAGCTGTAAAACACCTGAAATTGAACAAATGCAAGGGTAAGGGTAAAGATATGTTCAATGCCCTACTGTGGAACATTCCAGGCAAAGAAATAACACCAGAAACCCTCCACCAGAAAAGTTGAAAAAAACATTTTGGCGTCAGTACATTTGTAGATGATTAGAGCCGGAGGACGTTGTGAAGTGAAATGATTTAGCTCTTGTTGCACACGTGGAAACAGTTAAAACCTCGACACATTGACCAGCCGTGTAAATATTCAGCCATTTCACATAATTGAAGGCTAATTAAGCGATAATTTGCAGAGAGGAGGGAAAGTGACGCTCTGGGAAAATCCAGCGGCATAATGTTCTACGCAGCCACTCACATTTTGGAAATAAGTCAAATGTCTGAAAACAAAAACACATGGAAGCGATGCAGATTCCACCATAGAGATACATGCAGAACACCCCAGCGGACACCGTTTTAAATAAAGATGTTTCCACTGTTATGCTCAAGTCATTTTGGACAGCTTCTGGATGAATTAAAGATTAAACCAAAATCATTTCAGATTCTAAAACAGCTCATTATCATCCAAAGTCAGCAGAGATGTATGGGAAGTCCAGAATGTCATCTAAAGTTCAGATCTCGAAGCCAAAAGGTGCAGAGGAGCGGGTCATGTCCTTCCCGATGTTGTGGAATGTGCAGATTAAACGGGACTTCCCTGCAGGTATCTGTCCAAAGCATTGTGGGTAGGGAGTTTATTAGAAGCAGCCGACTGTGAAGCCACCGCTCAGATTCAAGGCCTTCCAAATGACTCGGAGGTCAAAGGGCACGACAATATGATCTGGGAACACAGCGGCGCGCTTCCTAAACTGCATCACCAGCTATCTTGGAAGGAATGTGTTTTTCTCGCTGTTTGTTTTTGAAAAATCAGACAAAGAACAAATAGTGAAATATTTCCAACAGATTTCACTTAATTTCCTTTCAGACACTGCCTTTAGAAAGTTTGGGACCATTGTAAGAAATAGGACACGTGAATAAAAGAAAAACTAACTGGTAACAAAATATGATAGCAAGAAGCAAGAATGATCAACAGTTGGAAATATATGACCTCATGATTTTTAAATTCATTGACAGGGTTTAACTATTATAGAACCATGTAAAACTGTCACAGTCCAGCTGCACATAAGACACTTATGTTCCACAGATCTGATTTAGTTCACATCTTGATACACTTGTGAGGTTCAGGACAAATACGCCTTGGCCCAGGGCCAAATTTGGCCTGCAATATAATTATATTTGGCCCACAAGATCATATCAAATCTGTATTAGAGCTGCCCACCGGCTACAGATAGACTATAGAGACATTATTTATTTAAAATGTTGTTATTATTTTATATGATGCTTGTTCTGGATTCAATGTTTAAGCAAAACTATTATTAAACATTTATTTTAATAAGAAAAGGTTTAACATTACATATCTAGAAAGAAGAGAAAACATGCAGATGTTGTTGAAATTTTTCAATAAATATTTTGTTTGGCCTATGACTTCGTCCCAGTTTTTCATTTTGGCCTCTGTGAATTTGAGTTTGACACTCCTGATATAAAGGAACATATGGTTTTGGGAGTCTCTAAAGCAGTGGTGGTGTTGATGGTGTTTCTGCTCCACCAGGTCCAGAAGTCCAGTCTCAGACAGTTCAGGCCTTATTCAAATCCAGGACCAGACCATGAGATCACCATGTGATCACTGGTGTAACAAATGTTCCTAAGCTAATGTGTGTAAAATAAACACTATGGTATTCTAAGACTATTTTGTAAGAATTATCATCAAAAGCTTGAGCAGGGTTTAAAACAGACCAATGACCAGATGCTAAGATGCCCAGGTCTGATTCATGCTGTTATTAAATGATACACTCTGATGTCATCACAAACAGCCAAGAGTAAAAGTGCAGATGTGTAGAGACTCACGTAGATGAGGCGCTGCTGGTAGCGCAGGTACAGGTTGTACATGATGGCTCCGTCGTGCAGGTCATCCAGAGCAGACATGTCCTCCACAGAGCGCACAGAGCTCACGTGCATCGGCTGCACCTTCTGACGGGTCAGGGCGTTCTGCTTATACGTGTACACCTAAACACACAGGGAACACACATGGTTAAAATGGGCTTTAGATCAAACCTGGAGCACTTTTCTTCAGCCCTGAACCTTGACCAGGACCATCTAAAGGTGCATTGTGTAACTTTTCTGGTGGAGGGTCTGTCAAATGCTTTTTTCTATGGAGATGTCATTACTTAGTCTGGAATGTTTCACAGTTCTCTCAGTTTCTATCTTCATGGAGACCAAACCAGACTAAGTTACAAGTCAGATCTATGGAGAGACGACCCTGATCACAGTCAGAATTAGGCCTGTAACGATAACACATTTTGCTGGACAATTAATTGACCAAGAATTAATTGCGATTAACGATAATATTGATATTTTGAGACCAATTTCAACTAATATAATGACCATGGAATAAAAATGCAAATACATCCTCTCAGTGATCAATAAACCTTACTTTCTAAAGAACATTTAACACAGGAACTGTACGACAACTGAAAACAATAGGCCTAAATAAAACAGACTAAACATAGGATTAGTCTAATGTAGTCTGACTGACAGCGAGGACTTGTTCACAAAAATGCACTTGAATAAACCATTGTTGAACCAAACACAACCAAAGCAATAAATAAAATGGATTATTAAGTCTCTGTAACAAAATTGTCCTTAAAAGTGATTTTAGTGATTGACTTACATTGGTGTATTATGTCTCGTCTCTCTGTGGCTGCTGCTGTGAGCCTCGTCATTTTGGTCATTTAAATGTTCGTATTAACCTGCGACACAGGATCCTGTTTCTCTATGAGGGAGCCTCTGTCCTGTCTGGTGTTGTGTCGGTTCGGTTTCAGGATTTCAGGTTCTCCCGGGGGCAGGGCTAGTTGTCGCTCGGGTTTGGGTTTATATCGGCTGTTGGGGTTTGGGACATTTCTTCTCCTTATTTACGCACTCGCTGAATTTGACGCATGTGGCTGTTGAGACGTGTCCCGCTCACCAGTGTTGATTTGGCATCGTGACTTTTGGCGATGAACGGAGATGAACTGTTTTGTTACTCTGACAGCGGCGCTAGCTTGTGTTGCTAGTGCACCATGATGGTTCAAGCATCATTACACTTGTTAAACGAGAGGAGTCAGAGAGCGATAGGACTTCTAACATTCAGTCTCTTTGAGAGTGAGAGAGAGCGAGGAAAACAAACAAGCATGCAACTAGAATTTATCGTGGCTGGAAAAGTTATCGAGCTCGTTAAAAGTTATCGTACAATTAATCATTTTATTGATTATCGTTACAGGCCTGGTCAGAATGTTGTTTTTCTAGGTATTTAAAAGCTATAAAACCACGTGTAATTGAATCAATGTAAAGTAGAGCTGTTTAATGTCACACTTCCAGGCAGAGCAATGATGAGAGCAAATATCCATAGAAAGAAGCACGTAACAAACCCTTAACCGAAAAGTTACATAGTGCACCTTTAAGCTATGTTCACAATAACAAGTACAATTCACTCTATTCAGTTTAATTCACGTTTCTTATAGGAATACGAAGTCTGTTCATTGTTCTTAGGGGATTTGGTAGGGCATTTGTACAGAAACAAGGCTCTTATTTATAGAAAATCTTAGACCGGCCCATTCACCTGACTACATTCTTAAGAACTTTCTAAGAACACTGTGTTTTTGTTAAGCATTTTCAGTAAATAAGCAAAAAATAAATAAATACTCGCAGACATAGATGATTCAATCCATCTGAACCTAATCCATTACACTGCCGCTTTTGCTCAAGGATATTTTGAACATTTGAATCCCTAAAATAACACTTAAAGTACACGACAACAGTGAAAAGTATCAGTATTACACTCATTTTAAACCGAATGTGCCGTGACTGAGTGGTGTAAATACAAAAACACATGTTCTGGGGTCTTTGTCCTAATAAACGCTGACATACTGGAGGAAGTGCTTTGTCGGCTGTTCACTTTCTTTGGTGCGGTGATAAAACTCCCGAGCTCTCACGTTTCAGACAGATGGCAGGTGGAGGAGAGGTGACTTTACATTAGACTGTCCACAGGAAGCCATAGGAGACTTTAAGACCGTGTTACAACAAGACTTAAAATGTCCTCTAAGGGAATGGGAATAAATGTTGATTTGGGCTGATGACAGGTTTTAGAACTACTACACAGACTCACATGACTGTCAAAAAATGTACAAAACGATATTAAAAAAGGCTCAAATCTGTATCAAAACTGTATCTCTCACACTTAACGACACACAAACTAAAGTCTTCGTACTTAAAGGTGCATTGTGTAACTTTTCTCTATGGAGACGTTATTGTTTTGTCTGGAATGTTTCACAGTGTGGTATTAAACCTTTCGATCTTCATGGAGACCAAACCAGATCAAGTTACAGGTCAGATCTGTGGAGAGAAGACTTAGACAGGCTGGCACCACTTAGGCTACGTTCAGAGTGCAGGACTTAATGCACAATTCAGATTTTTTGGGGAAATCCGATGTTTTTGCGAGGTCGTTCACATTTCCAATTAAATGCCACTTATATGTGATCCCCTGTGTGAACATTAAACAGCCCGAAAGTGTCCCGCATGTGCACTGGAGACACGACGATGTCAACGGCAGCGAGCGTGCTCTGTGTTTACGGAAGTTGTCCAAACATGGATGCAGCATTGAGCACCTGGAGATTTTAAAGTTCCTCTCGTACCGGAGCCAGAACATGAACAACTTACTTGTTTTAAGGAGGAGATTGAGAAGGAGAAGGACGAGGTTTTTGGCCGTGGTGTTTTGTGGGGCAGCGGCAGCGACGTCCGTTAAAAGGAACGTGTGGATGTGGAGACGGAGCCAAGAGTGATGAGTGGTGATGTGCTTCGCTTCAGTGACACAGAGTTCATTAACAATTTTCGCCTACTTCAGTGCAGAATAGTGACGTTTGTGTCTTGTTGATAACGTGTAGGTGGATGAATGCACTTTGACCGTTCAGACTGAAGTCACATGTCAAAAGATCAGATATGTATCAGTTTCAGGAGCACATATCCAAGTGTCCTGGGTCACATTTGAAAAAATCGGATCTGTGTCGTTCAGACTGACATTAAAAGAGCAGATACAGGAACATCGAAGTCAAAAAATTTGATTTGGGTCACTTCAGGCTGCAGTCTGAACGCAGTCTTAGTGCTTCCGCTCAATTTCATTTCTCTCCAGTGACTAGGTCAGGAATCAAAATACTCTAGACAGTTTGCAAGAACCCTGGAAGTGCGAGTTCGGGCACCAGCCAATCAGCAAAGAGCCATATATTCTGTGTTGCCAACGATTCCCGAGATCGAGGATTTAAAGCTGGAATAAAGAGAATGTTTGTTAAATTTTATCAAGGGGAAAGACGTTTGCCCTTCTTCCTACGGGATTTGGGCCCCGTTAGCGACGCATTACATACGTCACAACGAAAATAGCAGCAATTGGTTAAATAAAAAAAGTACCCGCCTACAGTCGAGGGAACAAATCCTAATGCTGCGATGTCAGATGGTTTCTACAAAGTGAAATCGTCTGATGAAACAGACTAGAGGAGGCCCCGCTCAGTCAGCTCAGTCAGAATGTCTGTTTTTCTAGTTATTTTTGAGCTATAGACAGACCCTCCACCTGAAAAGTTACACAATGCGTCTTTAGAAGAACATAAACGGAAGAACTGATGCAAATTTTGAGACATCCAGGAACATATAAGCGAGTTAGTTTTGTTTAGCTTGACTATATATTAAAAAGAATAATTTGTGATCTTGATCTATATAACCCAAGTGTAAGACCACATAGTGATCTTAAATAAAGTGCTGCTAATTAGGAGTGTAACGATATCCAAGTCTCATGATACGATATCATCACGGTATGAACCACACGGTACGATATTTATTGCGATATCGTGGGAAAGTTCACAATATGGTGGGGAGGCTCATGATTAGGTTATGATTATGTAACAATATCCAAATCCCTCAGTGCGATATTTTCACAATATACATCTCATGGTACGATATTTATTGCCATATTTTGTGGAGTTTAACAAAACTGTGAATATGTTCCTTTTTCCTCTTAAAATGCCTTGACAAGACTTAATCCAAAGAACTAAGACTTAAAAGTGTTAGAACTGTTATTTCTTCTTGTAGTCTGCACGGAAATGGAGCAAAGGATCATGGTCTATGTAGTTCTCTCTCTTTTTTTCTCCCTCTGTCTATTGCTGCACCATAATTGTTGCATTCATAATTCATCTTCATTTAAGCAAAGAGACTTTTAATTCAAAATTTTGTGATGGTCCACGATATTATTGTGAGAACTTTGACGATACGATATCACGATATTTAGTTACTGTTACATCTAGGGCTGGGTATCATTAAGGAGTTGTCCATACGATACATACCTCGATACACAGGCCACGATACGATACATATCTCGATACAGTGCACTTTCGATTCGATATGATATATTTCAAATCGATTCGATACGGTTCAATAAAAAATAAAGGCTAAATCATGGCTGTGATACTAAAAGGCTTTGTTAAATTATTTCTTGTGCAAAGTTCATATGAAACACAAACATTTTAATCATCAAAACAGTAAAAATATCAAATGTGTCGCATAAATGAGTTTCCTTTCACTCCACAAGCAACAAAACTGTAGCACTGTAACAAAATAATTTAGTAAAACACACCTAAAAATACTCTTGGTGAAATATCGATACAGTAGCCCATGATATCGATACTGTATCATCAACATTAAATGATACGATATATCGATATTCTGATATTTTTGCACACCCCTAGTTACATCCCTACTGCTAATATTTTGTGTTAACTACATTGTATTTTAAGCAAATAAGAGTGTTTTTATCAGTGCAGCATAGAAATAACTGGTACTGGGTATAAGTCTTTTCCTTTTAGTATCAAAATTTTGTATGGAATTTTAGTATCACGACAACACTAAACTGTAGACAATATCAGGTCACCACAAGCAGAGGCGGCGCTACCATTGGGCAACAGTAGGCGGCCGCTTAGGGCCCCCAAAAC